GACCCTGGCTTTCCCTGGCATGTGATTTTTTTTTTTTTTCCTTCTTATCAGTCCCCTAGGGTGACTCAGTCTCAAGTAATAGGTTCCTTCAAGATGCCACCTAACCACAGTCTGACAAGGAGCGACAAAATGAGCCTGTTCACTGCCAACTCATGAAAGCAGAAGAGTCGCTGTCTTATCCAAACGCCCGAGCATTCTAGCTTTGTGGGCATATCCTGCTGGTAGGACTGCCAGTCTCTTTCCAGCAGGCTGTTAGCTCACCCTTGGGATGCGGCTTCCGTTTTCTTTCCTGTCACCGGGTAGCGACAGCTCTGTCTGTGTGCTGCTTGCTCTTTTCCTTGAGTTGCCTTCCCACTTCCGCTTGTTTTCCAGCGTGCTAACTCCTTGTTGTGATTGACAGTGCCCTTCCAATCTTCCTGTCACTGCAATAGAGTCTAGTCTTTGTTGTCCTGACTGCACTTACTACACTGGAGAAGCACTCTGATTTTCTCTATCACTTACCTCCATTGTACGAGAAACCAAACCAAACCATGAAGTCGCTCTTTCTTGTCTGTACAAACCCGTGACTTGCTTTGGTCCTCACCATGTTTTATTATCTGGCCCTGTCTCTTTCTGACCTCATCTCCTTCTACCTCCCAGACTCATCAGGGGTGCCCCGATAATTGCTTTAGTCTTCTGGACTTCCATTGACTCCCAAGCCTTGTACATGAAAAGCTCTTCCCTTTTAATTTCCTCCTTTGCTAAGCTAATGACTACTTTTTCAAGATCCTGCTAAAATTCATCCTTCCTGGAAAGTATTTCCTAGTTCCCACCCCCAATTTTACTCCCTACCATTACCTGGAATACAGACTTCGCATCAGGAGGCGCCCGTAACACCCTGTGCACAGTACATTTGTCACACTGCTTTCTAATTATCTCCCCTCCAGACTCTGAGGTTCTGCAGGACAGAGACTGTGCATTTTGTCTCTATTAATAGCCTCTGGCAGTGGTCCTGGCAGACACCACATGCTTATAAAGGCTTGAATTGTCAAACTGGATCCTAACTCTCTCCGCCTGAGTTTTGCTTGTGTGCTTCCTTGTTCAAGCATTAACCTTCCTGTTTCCTGACCTCAGACCACACTCTAACATCTTCGGTCCCCTTGACAATGTGGGTCATTGGCTACCAAGAATCCCAGGAGGGTGTAGAATGGACATACGATCTCTGCACAGTTTAGTATCTGTTCCTTTTCCTGGTGAATCACGACGATCATTTGCATTCAAGCATGGACAAAGGAAGGAAATGGGGGCATGAATCAAAGGAGCCAAGTCCAGGTTTCAATGGCACCTTCACTGGAGCAATCCTGGCCAGGCCACCTATGCACCATAGAATATATTTCCCCTTCTATTGTCTTTTAATGCAGTACCTTCAGGATCAAAATGAAATAAAGCAATGTGGACACCTAGACTGTGTTTTTGAATGTTTAAATGTTGTAGGTCATAAAGCTTCTCAAATGTGAACTCACATAAGGCTTACTACCTTCTAAGTCATCACTGGTCATTTTTTAGAGGGTAAATAAGGAAATACGAGCATTAATATGGTAAAGACACCTAAATAATAACCTGTATATTCGTCTCCTTAAAGTAGCATCACTGAGATTTATTCCTCCAGGAAGGCTCTACTCCCCAAAGGTTCCCCAACCTCCTCAAATGACACCATTAACTGCAGACCAAGTGCCCAAATACCAAATACCCAAGACAACGGGGGACATTTCTCTCTCAAATCACCTCAGCAACTATTATACTACTTGTGAGAGCAGTAAAAATATCTGAAGTACTAGTGAAAAAAATCCCAAAAACTTCTACTGCATAATATAAGAGGTGCATAAATAGAAAGATCTTTTCTCCATTAAAGACAAATTTTAATATAGCAAATATATACTTAGCCATCCAATTTATCTATATATTAAAAGTAATTCCAATCACATCCTTACATGTTTTGTTTTAGGTTTTTTTGTTTTATTTTATTGACTTTTTATTCTTCTTCCATATCAAAAAAAATAAGATAAATTTAAAAAAGAACGAAAGAAATAGTATTGTCCTGCAGATTTCCTGTCCCCATGTGTGACTGAGGCAGTTGTAACAAGGTGGATCATCTGGTTAATCCTGTTGTCCTGGTACCTGATCGTTTTAGGGAAATGGTGTGGTGAGGTAGAGATATGCCAGTAAAGAAAGCCTCATAAACTCCTCCCAAACAAGTTGGAGTCTTTTTTAAAGTCTTAAGTAGATACTCTTTAGCTTGAAGTTATAGGAAGTCTCTGCATAATGGAGTTATCTCCATTTATTATATTAGGGATATGTTACTTTTTACTTTCCCAAAGAATTCTATTTCTTTAAAATGTGTCCTTGCGTTGAGGACTTAAGAGTCATTTTAATCTATTCGGTGATCACAAAATATTAGATCTAACCAAGATTGCCACCTTCCCCACCCCTGACCCCCATCCCTGGCTTCCTGGTGGGTCAGGCCAATGAGAGTCACCAGGTATGATCAGAGGACAAGGAGGGAGACTGGAATCTCCTCCTCGTGCAGGTTCCAGTGATGGCTGAATTCCATAGCAGCTCCTCTCTCACAACTCCAGCTCTCTTTAGACTGAGATGCTATTCCTGGTAAGTATGTATCACATGGCATGGAAGGATATTCCCTGATACAGGAGTCATTTGCACACATCTGTGAAACGTGTGTTAACTGCTGCCTGGGTACTTCCACTTCCTACTAGAATGCCTTGCCCTGAGCAGTCCCATGACTAAAACGTACTATTTGAAGAACTCCGTGGGTTAAGAAGAGCAATCGAGCCGGGCGGTGGTGGCACACGCCTTTAATCCCAGCACTCGGGAGGCAGAGCCAGGCGGATCTCTGTGAGTTCGAGGCCAGCCTGGGCTACCAAGTGAGTTCCAGGAAAGGCGCAAAGCTACACAGAGAAACCCTGTCTCGAAAAACCAAAACGAAGAAGAAGAAGGAGGAGGAGGAGGAGGAGGAGGAGGAGGAGGAGGAGAAGAAGAAGAAGAAGAGCAATCGATAGCTAAAAATTTCAGTTGGAAGCCTATTGATTTTCCCCCAGTTTAGAAAGATCACAAGCTGGGTAGAACAGCAGACAATTCCTCCTGGTGGCTGTTCTGAACACTGACTGCTACGCGTCTCCAAGGGCGCGTCTGAAGTCCACCTCTCCTCACTCCTACTGCCGGTGTCCTCATAAAGAGCAAGGCAGCCACAGCTCCTGTCGGTCCGGTTTCATAAGGCATCTCCAACAGTCCACGGGAATGTCTAGGGAGACTAGCGTGGCCGTGTGCTACTATCTGTGTCAGACTTCGTGTGTGTTCTTCTGTCCAAAAACACCGAGGATTCTTTGAAAATGATTAGGATGCAGAGCCACGTGTGCAGAAGGACCCTTTCATTCTCATCAGGAAAAACAATCCACTGGATCTCTGCTCATTTTTCAAAATGGCTTGTGGTTCCTCCTTACTGGCACCAGCCCACCTCTCCCCTTTGAGTGGCTGAATGCTCAGAACAGATTCACAGGCACCAGAAGAATGTCACCCATCACTTAAAGAAATACAGTCCTGTGGGCATTTCAGACAGCGAATTCCAGAAAATGCTTTTTCAGATGTTTGAGCTTTAATGAAACACGGGATATGTATTGCCAGGTAGTACTGATGCTCATTTTTGAGCTCCCCTTATGCTGCCATTTATTTGCCCAAAACACCGCCGTATGTTCCTCTGCCTTTCTGTTTGCCTACATTTCTGTAGAGCATGCCTAAGACTCCAGACTTTTTAAAGCCCATTTAAAAAATAGCCACTAACAAAAGAAAGTTTTTTTTTAAAGCCCCCAGGCAACTGCATTCAGGTAGGAACAAAGAATTTAATTTGAGGCTCAGAAGTAACGAGACGTGTGGGAATTCCAAACATTGTTCAGCACTACACACTTGAGAATTCTTTCATATCGGTGGTTGCCTCGTATTAAAATAACAGCTTGAGATATAGGTGATATCTCTACTATCAATTGTTTTTAGAGCCATAGCCCCAGGTATTATTCAGGCAAATGGCTGTTTTCAGGACTGAGCCCCCTGAAAACCTAACTTTCCCAAAGGTGGGTAGCTTCAAGACTCTCTGAATAGCCATAGCAACCTGGAGACCACTGTCCCCCTACCTGTCTAAGATGATTAGAGGACACGATTGGCTTAGCTTCTGACCTACATGGAGTTAATTAGCAATGGCATCAGTGCAACAAGAACAGAGGAGAAATACCCTCCATCCGTGGAAATGTTAAAAAGCTCAGCAATGGTCCCAAGTGAAGCTATGGGGTTATGTACAAAGACTATCCTCCCAAGTTACTTGGAATCTCCACGTAAGAGTGCAGCCTAGCCAGATGTGGTGGATGCCTGTACACACCTGTCACCTTGAGAAGGTTGAGGCACTCTTCAAAGAGGTTCAGGACAGCCTGTGTTAACAGTGACTCTGAAGCCAGGCTTAGCTACATAGCAAGAGCCTGTCTTTAAAAAAATGAATGCAGTCTAAAGAAGCTAATTTCACCTTCCACTTTGAGGGTCTAGGAGAGCACCTCCCATAAAGAAAGTCCTCAAAATCAGCGGGGTGGTGGTGGTGCAAGCCTTTAATCCCAGCGCTTGAAGCCCAGAAGGCAGGTGGATCTCTGTGAATTCCAGGCTAGCCTGGGCTACAGAGTGAGTTCCAAGATAGGCTTCAAAGCTACACAGAGAAACCCTGTCTCAAAAGAGAGAGAGAGAGAGAGAGAGAGAGAGAGAGAGAGAGAGAGAGAGAGAGAGAGAGAGAAAAGAATGCCCTCAAAATAAATCTAAATTTACTTTACAAGGAAGCTTTCTGTAGTACTATAGTTATGTTTATTTGTGATCACGAAGTCCACTGCTGCCCATATTATTACCTTTCAGCCATTTTCTATTGTAACTAAATAAAGCTATTGACTCTATAAAGAATATGTATTGAACTCTAAGCCAGGAGTGGAGGTAAAGATATAAGTAACCAAATATGGCTCCTGATCTCAAGCTTGCCACCTGACTAAGCAAAGCTTGCCAAAATTCTAACCAAAGCATAAGGGTTGGGGGAGTCAGTAAATACATGGCCCAAGTTCAAAACTGCACAGTATATGTTTGTGGGGAATGGAGGAAGGCCTGAGTGAATGTGCATCGTTGATTTGTGCACAGCCATGTCAAGACCCCAATGCTTCAGACTCAGGGGTGGCAAAGCCTTTCCCTGGTGAGGCTTAGAGACATGGCAAAGCCTTTCTCTGGTCCTATACAAGTGTTTGCAAATGACTGACCAGTGAGTGCTAAAACTGTCAGTCACAGCTTCCCTCCAAAGATCTCCTTCCAAGATTAGCTAACCTATATTCAGCTGCACACAATAAACCCATTTCCCCAGTGTAGATGTGTGAAATAAAGGTGCTGAGCTTCCAGGTTGCTGCCGCTGGTGCATCTCCATCAAAATGCACATGTCTTACGTCTGTGTGTCTGTCCTTTCTTCACTCTCTCATCACCCCACTTAGGTCAATCCCTGAGGCACTGCAGATCAAGGCACATGTTGACTCATGGGAGCTGAAGAAGACAACCACATCAGTAATAGAGATTGAGATGCACCTCTCCATAGAAGGCTTCTGTTAGCACAGCTTGTATTTCTCGGGAAAAGCTTAGCTGGTGATACTGTACCCTACCCTCCTACCAGGCCTGTCCAGTTCTCCCCATTCTCATGCTTTCAGGAATTCTCGGTTTAGATAAAAACTATGTTGTCTCAAAATAGTCTCTCTCTCTCTCTCTCTCTCTCTCTCTCTCTCTCTCTCTCTCTCTCTCTCTCTCTCTCTTCCTTTACTTAGAAGCCGATTTCTTTAAAAACAAAACAAAGACAGAATCAATTGGTCATATTCTAAAATTCAGTTTTCTGCACTCCGTCACCTACAAAGGCCCACTATGATGCTTACTTCTGGGAGCTGACTTATCTTGAGAAATGCTGCTGCAGTCCTTCAGGGTGTGTCTGTGAGGGTGTTTCCAGAGGAGGTTGATGAGAGAACCAACGGACTAAACATGAAAGATCTGTGGGCAGGTACCAGCCAACCAGCGGGGCACCCAGAGAGAACAGAAATGGTTAGAAAAGGGGCATTTCCTCACTCACAGTTCCAGAAGTGCAGAAGTCCAATGTGAGACCTCTCATGGTATAAGGTGGAAGGCCTTGTAAAAGGAGGAAGAAGCGAGAGATAGCTGGATTCCCTTCCACATCCCATGCTACAAAAACAGCATTAACTGTGGTGAGGACAGAGACTTCATTACTTCACATCTCTTAAAAGTCCCATCACTCAGCATCGTTATACTGGGGACTCTCTCCAGCACCCAGACTTTGAGGGGGGGGACACACTGAAGCCATAGAACTGACCAATCTTAGAGGAGCTGGTGCTATAGCCTGAGAACCTCCATATTATGGGATATCCCAGGTCATCATACTCCTACCACCAAAGTCTGAGAACCACAGGTTCTGTGGCAATTTCAGAAGCATCCTTTTAACCCCATTCTTGACACTCAAATCTGGGCTAAGACATATTGCAGGGATTCTTATCCCAGCACCCATGGGTTTACAGAAAGCCCCAGTAGGCTTCATGACACGCTAAAAGGCTCCAGATTATGTCTGAAAAATGGTGCACAGGTATGCAGTTTTTCAGAGGGTAAGAACCCAAAAGTATCATCAGAGGCTCCAGAACACGAAGAGGTGACCTGATGCTCAGGGACTGATTGAGTATAAACTCTAGGTGTCCACTGCAGAAATCAGAAATCAACTTTCCTTCTAGGGTCAGTACATATTTGGATACCAAGTGAAGAAGGCAACAGAATTCTGAAGCCAAGTGCTAAAAAGAATTGACATCATTGGCTGACCATCCTGAATGATTACATTGACCATATTCATTCCTTATAGCAGCCCTGGAGCTCTCTAGAATGGACAATGTCTTAGGTAGGGTTTCTATCACTGTAAAGAGACATCATGACCATGGCAGCTATTACAAAGAAAATATTTAGTTGTGGTAGCTCACTTGCAGTTCAGAGGTTCGGTTCATTATCATCACGGAGGGACATGTACAGGCAGTCATGGTGTTGAAGAGGTAGCTGCTACAGGTTGATATGTAGGCAACAGGAAGTAGACTGAGAGACTCATACTGTGAGAAGCTTGTGAGAGCAAAAGAGACCTCAAAGCCCACCCCCACAGTGACACACTTCCTTCAAGAAGGCCACACCTACTTCAAAAAGGCCACACCTCCCAATAGTGCCACTCCCTTTGGGGGGGCCATTTTCTTCAAACCACCACAGAAAGTACCATCTCCATTTCAGTTTTGAAGAATATCAGATGTAATAGTTTCGGATTAGTATTGAAATAATAAGTAATGAAGCGATTATTTATATTGTTCTATTATTAAATAAAACTCGGGAGTCAGATATTGGGGTAAAAATCTGATAGAGCCAGAGAGCCAGGGAGGAACGATTAGCTGACCCTGCCTCTCCACACTTCCAGATCAAAGAGGCCCTCAAATCTTTCTAAGCCCCTCTCTGTTCCTTCCTGAGTCTCTCTATCCTAAATGGGTCCGCAAGAACTCTATGGTTAATTCTGCCCTCTGATTCAGGGTTTAGCTTTATTGGCAGTCTCAGGAGTGTCAGAGCGCAATCAAAATATCGCACAACAGGGCGCTAACTATTTGTCGTATCGGGCTATACGTACTTCACACACATGCTCAGTAATTCTTCCAGCAAGTCTAGAAAGCAGATTCTATTATCCCCATGCTACAAATGAAGAAACAGCTTTCACACAGTCCACTTCTCTCATCTCTTATCCCAAGAAGTAACAATAGTAGCCCTTCACACAGGCACTATCCTAATCATCCTTTTATTGAGGAGGAGCCTGAAGCAGAAAGAGGTACAATAACTTGCCCAAAGTCATTCTATTAGCGAGAGGCAGAACTAGAATCCAGGAATATTCTCTACGGTCTCAAGTTCTGGTTTTGACCTTGCTGGATAAGTCATTTTTTTTTTTTCCAAGCCTGAGTTTCTGTGGACGCCATGTCTAATCTAGTAGTTTCCCTTCCTTCGTCATTTTAAAGCTCCATGCACATGGTAAACAGGATTCTGGGCACAGTTCCTACGTCTCTACACAATTCCCCATTACTACCTTGCGCTGCACACGGGTCGCAGCCGGTGACAGTATGCCAGGCCACCTTTAGCTGGTTCTCAGACCACACAAGGTCACACCAGTCACTCAGGGATGCCTGAGCTCACAGCTGCTTTTTATGATCACAGACACAATGGGAGCGGGCAGCCCAGCTGCTCACAAGGCTGCGCAGTATCACATTACTAACATTGCCTCTGTGCAGTGTTCTGAGACCATTCTGAGCCCGGTTACAAAAATAGTCGTGACTCTCATCGGGGCTGGAACTGTTGGTTTTGTTAGGTGAGATCACTTGAGGAATATAAAATGCATGAGAAAGAGTGGCGGGCAGGAAAAACAGTCGACGGATGCATAGGGTCAAACAAAAGTCACCCAGCAGAGAACTGTCTGACCATTGCGTTTGGCTCTGAGGAATTAATCAGTTCCTCTTCCTTTTGGTTCGTTCCCAATTACAAAGTATTTAATTGCACCTTGGCCTTTAATCGTGTGCGCGTGTGTAAAAAGCTATGACTCTTTTTAAAGTCCCTTCCGGTCAGCACGCAGGCACACCCTCACCAGGTTTGTGCTCAGAGCACACTGCATTTGTATGCCTCACCATTGATTTCTGCGGGGTTCTTAATATTATGCAAGACTTTTTCCTTCCTTTGCTCACCTCCTGTGACTGTGCTGATTCGACATTTTATAGACGCATCAATTTTCCTTTAGAAGCTGTGCCGAGAATGTGCGAGTCGCTGGGCCAGTTTCTTATTGAAATCAGATGATGCAGCATTAGCTCTCAGTTCGGTGATCGGCTGCCCCCTAGTGAAACTTTTCAGCTCTGCAGTCAACCTACAAATTCCCTGTGACAATCACTGCAGAGGCTTCCTGACAAAGGGGAAGTGTCCTTGAGAAGAGGATGTCCTTCGATCCTCGGCCTGTTTTCTGCGCGTTTCGGGGGTTCTCTGAAATTTTTCTTGGTAATTCAAGATTGCTTTGTCTTGAAAACATACCCACAAGGTGTTCTCTTTCCTGTTCCAATAAAAATTCCTCTGGGAGTGAAAGCTGTTGTGACCCACGCTAGGGAGCCGCATCTGTTTCCGCTAATTTCACCTGCCTATTGCGTGATGGTTTTCCTCTCCAGTGTCTCTGCGGAAAGCAGCGTGCTCAGTGCTACAGGGTCCCTCCTAACAACACTTTCTGTAGAAGCCGAATGTTTGTCCTTACAGGGGGCTGAAATTTGTAGATGGCGTTTCCCACGTTCCTTACGTGGGAAGTCTTAAAATCTGTCATTGCTATTAATATGAAATTGTTCGTTTTAGTAAGATTCTAAAACCTTAAGTAAAATGTTGTTCCTATGTTGTTACAGACATGAAATCGATGATAATTAAATACAGTCTCTTTGTTATAAGTTAATATTAGCAATGTGATAGCAATGGTAGATTTATCTACAATGAATGTGTCCACCACAACCCTTTTCTCCAGACACTTTAGCAGAAGGCATGCTCAGCCTGAATGACGTCTTCTGAGTTCAGAAGACGACAAGGTGGAAACATGACCGACCATTGCTTCACCATCTGGGTGTTGGGACACTCGTCCCCCTCGGTTTTCTGGTAATTTAATTTGTATAGATGGCATTCAAGGTTAGAATCAAAGGGTCTTCTTATCATGGTGTTTAAAGCTCTCTCGAAGCAAGAACCTCTTAGTTTCAACTACTTATGTACATTATTAAGTATCACCCATTTTATAGACAGCTGAGGGCTTTTTTTTCATGAAACAACACTCACTGTTAGACATTAGGACACTTCTTTCAGAGCTAATGAGATTTGGCTCAGAGAACTCACGTCGCCATCCCTAGAACTCACAGCTTCTTGTTAACCATCAGGCTTCAAACCGTGGCCAGTGGCGACCAAGCCCTAAGCTCTTCCTCGTCAAAGTTGCTCCATATCTTCTTCCCCTTGCAATTCTTGAGGACACCGTCGCTCCCACTTTAAGAGCTACATTGCCACAAGGAAGAATAAAAAGCCAGGAAGTACACTCACAGAAAGGTCAGCACATTGGATCTGTTTGGGTGTTCTAAATTAAGAGAAACTGCTCGCATTGATCCCCGGCAAGAGTGAATGAGGGCTGTCCCTAGGGAGGTGAAGACAGGCCAGGCCTCTCCCCAGAGAGTCTCCCCAAGGTTGTTCCTTCTTCCCAACCATGAATAAGTTATGAAGGTGAAATTTCTCTACTTGCACAGAGACATTGATGGATCAGAAGGAGACGGGAACTTCAGAGAAGCACTTCTCGGAGCAGGCGGCACTATGAGAAGCAACAAGCCAGAAAACCCCTCCGTTACCGACCCCCACACTGGCTGTGCTGGGGGCTCAGGAGGGCCACTCAGGGACAACATCCACACACTGCCGTTCAGGAGTGGGCTGGCAACTTTGTGGATGAGGAAACACAGGTGATTTTTTTTTTCATTCAGTCATTAAACTGGGGAATTAATTTGGATTTGGTTTGGCTTGGGTTTTGGTCCGTTGCTTACACTCAGGATGAGTAAGCACTAGGAATCCTTGCTTCCGGAGTATAAAGATCTTACTAGAATGTATAGTCTGCCTTCTGCTCTATAATTCACAGCAAGGTGACATTAATACTTCTCTATTTTTAGAAAGTCTGGCTCACTCATAAACAGCAGTAGTATGAAGAGAGTTAAATGATGGATCAGCAATACTGCCTTGCTCTTTGGGGGAGTCACACCCTTCCCTGCCCTGCCGCTGGGCTTGCCCATGTGCTTTGCTGAGACCAAGGGAAGAAAGTCCTTACCCCTTCCTCACCTGGGCCTTAGGAGACATCGTGTGTCTCTGATCGCCTCTTTACCTCCCAGATCTTTGCCTCCATGACTAATGAATGACCTAGGAACACAAGTCAGGGAGCCCTGTCACCAATCCACAGTTGTGAGCCACATCCAAATAAGCACACAGAATGCCAATGCTGAGGAATAAACACGGAGAAATAATGCTTCCTGCTACACACCATCTGGAAGAGGTGTATCATAGAGTACCACCGTGGCAATAATTCACTGTCACAGAGCCTGGAGTCTTCATTTCATCAGAGTATACCTCCGCCTGTGTCGGGGAACCCTGTTGCTGCTCCGTGTCATCAAGGCCATAAATAAATGGGAAGAAATAAAGTTGGTCTCCGACTTATCAAAAGAGGTGTTCAGCCAGATATGGTGATGCTTAGCTATAATCCCAGCACTCAGGAGGCTGAGGCAAGACAATCTACAGTTGAGGCCAGCCTGGGCTCTGTAGTGAATTAAACATCTGGCTGGCTCAGATACTTAATGACATCTTGCTGGGGGGGGGGGGCAAAGAAGAGGGAGACGAGGAAGGAAGGAAGGTAAGGTTGGTAAAGAAAAATGCTTCAGTCTTCCCACCAACATCTGCACTGCCCACTCCATTCAGAGAATGGGCTCTTGCTTAAAGTCTATTTACTAATTTTCTTTTTCCTTTCTTTCTTTCTTTCTTTCTTTCTTTCTTTCTTTCTTTCTTTCTTTCTTTCTTTCTTTCTTTCTTCCTTCCTTCCTTCCTTCCTTCCTTTCTTTCTTTTTTCTCTTTCTTTCTTTCTTTCTTTCTTTCTTTCTTTCTTTCTTTCTTTCTTTCTTTCTTTCTTTCTTTCTTTCTTTCTTTCTTTTGGCTTTTCAAGACAGGGTTTCTTCATGTAGTTTTGGTGTCTGTCCTGAATCTCACTCTGTAGACCAGGCTGGCCTCAAACTCACAGAGATCCACCTGGCTCTGCCTCCCAAGTGCTGGAATTAAAGGCATGCACCACTGTTATTTACTTTATTTATTTAGATATTTAGATAAAAACAAGCTTTATCTAATTTTGTAGCTACTTCACACTCAGCAGGGACAGACTACAAGAAGGAAACTTGCTGATGACAAGAAAAAAAGAAAACTGTATCAGTAAAAAAAAAGGGGGACCCCAAAATGGCAACACCAGTGTGGTAGTTTGGATGTAATTGGCCCCCATAAGCTCATGGGGAGTAGCACTATTAGGAGTGTGGCCCTTTTGAAGAAGGTGTACCCTTGTTGGAGGAAGTGTGTCACTATAGGAGTGAGTTTTGAGATCTCCTATGCTCAAGCTACACCTAGTTCAATATACTTCCTGTTGCCTATGGGATCAAGATGTAGTTCTTCTCCACTCTCAGCCCCTTCTCCAGCACCATGTCTACCTGAATGCTGCCATATCCCACCATGATGGCTATGGACTAAACCTTTGAAACTATAAGCCACCTAATTGAATGTTTTCCTTTACAAGAGTTGTTGTGGTCATGGTGTCTCTTCACAGCAATAGAAACTCTAAGTATGGTGATATTTTATTTGTGCCTTAATAAATAAAGTTTGCCAGGAGATGGAGGGAGGGGGATGAGAAGGCCAGCCATTTTAATAAGAAGTCAGGGAGCACACGCCCTTAATCCCTTAGCAGGCAGAATCTCTGTGTGTTCAAGGCCACACTAGGGAACAGAGCCAAGCATGGTGACACATGCCTTTAATCCCAGTACCAACCATAGAGACCTGGAGGTCTGTGCAGATAGAAAGTGACAGAGCTGTATAGGAAGAGGAAGTGAGGTAGCTGGGCTAAGAGAGCCAATGAGAAGGCAGAACAGCAAGGCATATAAAGCCTGGGTAGACAGGAAGTAGTGCACATTTGGAAGCTACAGAGTTGGTGAGGTTAGGTTGGCTGTTGGCTCTCCCTATTTTCCCGATCTAAGGCTTTCACCCCTATATTTGGCCCCATGTTTTTTAGTTTAAAAAGACCATTTTAGAAATTCATCTACAACTAAGACAACAAGAATTCAAAATCTGCCTTGGGAGATGGCTCAGCTGTTAACAGCACTGAATGGTCTTCCAGAGGACTAGGGTTTGATCCCCAGCACCCACATGTTGGTAACTCAAGTCCATATCTCCAGTGGGCCTATTATCTTTCTGTGGCATACCGCCACATCTCTGAAAGTCGTCTTTATGAACTGGGCGTTTCTGAACACATGATAATTAGTCCATTCACTTAGGCTCTTATAGTCCCAGCTGTCACATCACTGTTTGACTGGATCTA